GCAAATTAAATTCAAAAAAATATAGATGTAGTTTGTAAAATAAAAAGATATACTTGATTAAATTATTCCGGAAATGAAAATGTCAGGAAAACAATTGAAAGCGAAAACAGAATGAAAAGACACAGTAAATGAATACAAGACAATACAGAATAAACACAAAGAAAGAAGAGAAATTATTGAAAATAGTCTAAAAAGGATTGCAATTCTTAAAAGAAAAATAATTATCAGAAAACCAAGGAAATTCAGGAATGCACTTCCCATACGTTTCGTACATTCATTTTACATTTATATTTATCAAAATTAAAACTGCATTTTTGTCATATTATTGTATAATATACTGTTTTATACATACTTTTATACATTATGTAATAGTATATTTGTGTATCATACTATTTTTTTATTGTTAAACGAACATATATTTTATTTCATTTTAAAACACTTGTGTTTATATAATTAAAACATTTAATATAATCTCAATATAATTTAACTTGGAATTCAGTAGATGAGCATTTCCTATTTGGCTACATACTTTGGAGTTTCGTAAAAATTCATAGGATAAAAATTAAGTTTCACTTTCTCTTTGTTTTCGGTCAGTTACATTGATTATCTTCATCAAATCTTTCAATTTTGAGTTCTTTTCAATTATCTTTTCCACATTGTTATGCACTCTTTCTCTCTGTACATATGAGTTATTAAAAATGCCATTATCAAAGTTATGTTCGTTACATCTTATATATTTACATATCCGAATCCTCATAAACTCATTCTTATTTCTTATTCCTTAGTATAAAGTTATTTAAAATGCAAGGATTTCGTGATATTACCGGATAAACTTATCATTGATATCATCCCGTCTGTCGTGTATTAAAAGACAGAATCACATTATGGAAGAAGAAGCAAGTCACACACGCTTTCAAATCCTCTAATCTTCCTATCACATTATTTAAATCTTTAACTTTTCTAAAGTTATTTGAAGATAACAATTTATCATGCATATAGAATACGTTATGGTGAAATTTATTTCCAATTTATTAAGCTACTTGTATACGAATTACATCATTTTGATGCTCGTTTGTATTGTATTTTTTTAAATAAATAAACTATCAAATATCAAAAGTAGAATATAAAATAAATAAATTTGTTATTAGTGATACATTTCTTTCAAACTGACGCAAAATTATTTCTATAGTGATTGAAATGTATTGAGATATATTGAAACACCTGCCATTTACATGGATATATATATATAATATATTAGTTAGAGAATTGGGTAAAAGGCTCGTGGCACGTCGGTTCAATCGAACGAGAATAGATTCACTATAACTGATTTACTATCGGTCGTTTGTCATTTCTGTCACGTCGTCTCGTTTCTCCATTTATCCTTTTTAACCTACCTGCACCGAATCACGGTTCTCCTTATATTTTTAAACGTTAATTTTTCACTTCCGAGTGATTTGTTTCTTTCCGCTACCGAGAATTTAATTATCCAATAGTTTATTAAGATTGATGGTGACTTTGAAACCTGTTTACTTCCGTCCGTGGTTATAACGGCAGAAAATAAACAATCGATCTATTTTTGAAGGATCGTTTTTAGTGTTCGTTTGAAGTCAAAAAGTAATGCCAGCTAGAAAAGGTGAATATTATCATTTGTATAAAGAATAAACGGTGCTTTGTTTCTGATAGTTTTAGAACAGGTTGGATTCTTGAAGAGAAAATGACATTTTTTTTTTTTAACTCTTTCCTCCCTGTCCCAACGATTTTTCTCTCTCATACCCATCGTGTTAGGCATCCTGGTGATGAAGGACGTAGCCCGAATATCCGTGACAGATCGCTCATAAAAAGTTACTTATCCAGATTCGATTCCGAGTTCCCCAGAGCAATAGGGCTGATGCTTTATTCAGCTCAGCCATTCGGTCGCCATACTAAGAGATTAATAGTTGAACGTGTTGATAATTAATTGTGATGTTTGTTAGATTCTCTTACATCACTTGACGAGTATACTCGTATACTGTAAAAGTGTTTAACTGAAATAGAATAAACGATTATTCTTAAAAACATATAACTGTAATGCTATATTTATATTATGCATTTTTATGTAAATTTAAATATTTAAAATTTTATTGTGTTATATAAAAAGAAATACATTTTTGCAGAACGTTTATTGCTTTTTATAAGCAATAAAAATTTAATTTTCTTCCAATTTTAAACCTCGATTTAACGCATTAATTCCAGTGAGTAAGTGTCCAAAAATCTATATATATATATATATTTTTTCTATGATAAAGTTTTAGAAGTTAGAAACTTTTCCTATTTAACAATGTATTTTTGTTTTAACGTTATTTAAAATTTACTCCTTAATAAGATTTTTGCAGACAAAAGCAATAAAAGTTCGTGAATGCTTTTTATAATAATTGACACGACTTAATATAATTCAGTTTCGAGATGTCTACAGCGTATAAATCGTTTATTATTACTTTTTAGCAGGTTGGAAAAGGTTATCTTCAGGTCAAACTATCAGTACTTGTACAGTACAACATTAAGTAAGAATTTATAAGAAAACAGTCATTAAATATGTAAGATAAGATAACCTACTTAGAAATAAAATAACGGAGATTGAAGTGTGAAGGTCGTTAATAGTCAAAAATTGGTAAAACATGTATGAATTTAACACTTTTATTCGCTACATTTTTAAGAATATTCGTAGAAGATTTGCATTCTTTACGTTTTATAAATAATAAAGAATCAATAGTAAGTAGCAGATGTGTTGCTTCTTTTCGCTGTAACTGCGCTAGAAGATATGAACAACCTAATGGGGACCGTCTCTGTTTATCATTGATAATCTAGATCGGATCATCCTTTTTCATCTCTCATCTCGTTGCGACTCCATTAGGGATATGACCCGCTCGTAATAGACAGTAGTAAGGAAAAATCTAATCTAATTCAAGACATAAAAGGTGTCAACATTTTTAATTATTATTAAATATTTCTTCAAAAAAAAAACAATGTAAGCTGTAATAATAGAGAGTTTTCCATGGTTAAATTCTCTCAAGGTTAAGTGAGTAGAGAATAAAAATCGTATAGAAGAAATTTCATTTTCTTTGTATCAACTTCTATGTGTGAGAATTATGAATATATATTTAAAAAAATGTAGCTACTGGATTAAAACTATTTTAACGCTTGAACAGCAAAAGAAATGATGAAAATCTCTTTGATTTACTTTAGTTTTATAGAGATATATTGAATGTTCTTTTCATAAACTGAAGAGGTATTTAAGAGGCTTTAGATCAAAGAGATTTAATAAATAATTTATCAACTTTTGAAGAATTTATCAAGATTATTTTACCCAAATATTTCCTAATTAACTTATCGATTTGTCATCATCATTAAAAATTTTTAATTGAGGATTTCCAATGCAGAAATTGTGATTTTGACTGCAAATATTCATTTTTCAAAAGATATTCTCATCCTTACGATTAATAATTTAAGTAGAAAAATTCCTGTCGATTATAAATGTGAAGTTCAGACAGACTTACAAAGTTTATTCTTCTTTATAGTGATAATGTATTGGTCGAAAATAAAAATTTCGACTTTTCTAACAATAATTCAATTTCTCGATTCTAAAATATTTTTATTAATGGCTTTCTTGATGGAAAGATATATCGGACGTTTAGCTAATGTTAGTCTATAAATATTGTGTTATTTTGATTATTGAAGACGGAAAGTTGCGTGTAGACGACCGAAATAAGAAATGAAATAGAAAATAATTCTTTTAAAATGTTATTGAAAAAAAGTCAGTTTATACAGTTAAAAACGAACTTTATCGTTTATTTGTCTAAACCACGAAAATTCTTTATTAGAATTTATGACTTTTAGTGGTTTCTAAATGAACTTTTACGTCTTTTTTCAGATAAACAAACCGTGAATATCTATCATTTCGGTATAAATCCATCAGAATATCATTTATTTATTCTTTACGTGACAGATTCACTCCTTCATTCATCATTTCTTACATTTTGTTTTGCTATATTCTTCAGACTTTTTGACGCGGAAACTTTCCACGAGATTTTGTAAATAAATCGATAAAAATCCGACCTGCAATTATTATTATTATTATTATAAAAATCGTAATTTATCGAAGAAAAAATATCGACAATTTGTTAAAATTCATTTGGGATTTTAACAAATCTATTTGTAATCATTTCTTCGTAGTTTATAAGGAAAAGAAACATCATCTTGTCATTACAATAAAGCTATTGTTGCTTCTCCTTGTTGTTGGATATTTTTGGAAAGTGTTGAATCTGCATTTGACAAGAACATTTATTGTCGACTTTCCAAAAAAAAATGGCATCTTTTTTCTTTAAAAAGTTATACTTTAAATTCTCGGAGAATTTAATGAATTTGCTGAGTTTAGAAATTTCTCAACAGAAAATGGCCATTTTGAAAAATTCCTTCAACCTTCGACATCATTTCCAGGCGCATAAATTCATTTTAATTTAAAAAATATATAAAATTAAAGGTTTAAAGTCGTTTTGTTTTTTATTATTTTACAATTAATAATTTAAAAAAATATATAACCGAAATCGTACAGTATATTTATATTTAATTGTGAAAAAAATATATATATATTTTAGAAGTGAAGGTATATCTTATTTTTAACTAGAATTTATTTAAAAACAGAAATATAACCGGGATATTTGTATACTTTTCTAAAAAATTTATTAACTCTTAAAATTCAGAAACACGCTTAAGTTCGTGAGGAGAACTTTTCAATAATATGGATATTTTAGTAGAGTGACCGATCGAAACTTTAAAAATGTTACAAGTTAGGTTTTAAAAACTGATAAGTGTATTTCGGTGTTAGAAAAACGTAGATAAAGTATATTGAAAAAGTTACGGTCGTAATGATTTTTTAGAAGAGATAAAGATGAATTATTTTGTAAAAAAAGTTGGATAGTTGATAAAATCGATCGATTTGTAACTCACTTCTTTTATTTTTCTAGATGATAACGAGTTCAGTTTTTGGATGTACGCAATGATATGTGCGGGATCAGCATTCGTTATATTCGTTGTCGTCACTCTTTATCTGATGTGGTAAGTATCTTGGAGTTTCAGAATCGATTTCCAACGCTAACTGCATCATTTTCAGCATCGAGAAGCCGAGCGCGAGACAACAGGAACCCACTCGAGGTCTACATATGAAGACATACTACAGGTGACAAGAAGGAGCGCACCGCCGCTGCCAATCCGAACTCTTTCAAGAGCAGAGCACGTGAGAGCGGTGTGCGGTGTGATCTGCTCTTGTTTCTACTTTTTATGTCGTATCTTCTAAACCTTCGATGTTGAATGTGCCTTGTTGTGTTTAGTGGAAGAATACAAGACGAAGTTTTAAGTTACGTATCTATCGGCCATCGACACCATATCTCGTTTACTGTATATATAATGTGTCTGCTAATTATTAAATATCAAACGAATTTATAATCAGATTTCACAAATTTCTATAAATAATTATGTAAATATTAATGTTTGGGTGTCTTTTCTTAAAGAGAGAGAGAGATCGTCTTCCACTTTAAGAGAATCGAGAATAAACAGAAAATATAAATTTATATATTAAAAAATATCTTTCGATTATAATCTTATAGGCAACAATATACTTTATAGGAGAAGTATCTGATATAATTTTAAAATATAATTGTATATAATTTATGTAAGTTATCGTATTTCCATCCATAAACCGTAACGTAGTGTGTGCCGTCCTCTCGCTTTCCTTTGCATTCTAATGTGCATATAAGCTTCGAATCTCTCCTAAATCTTAATAATATTGAAAAAAAATTAGAGATTAACCATTTAGAAAATTAATAAAACTTGTGTATTACTACGAAAACATGTAAAATATTGTATAGTGTAGTTTCTTAACGATAAAATGAATGATCTATTAAAATTGAAAACCATTTTTTTGGAGTGTTATTAAATCTATATATAGTTAAAACTATTGTTCCACGATATTTTATGTTAATAAAGTTCCTATTAAATGATCAGATGAGAGTCTAGTCATTTTATTTATTTTTATTTGAAATATCAAAGACGGAGCACGAAGAGTTTTCCCAGCATCCGAGAGATCTGGAAAAGATGATGATGCAACCATCTTAATTAACATTTATTATTAGTATATAAATGTTTGGTTTTGTTATTTTCTTAATTAATATTTGTAGGTCGTCGGAGATTTTCTACTTTAAATTTATAATCACGTCGTAAAATTTAATTTCGTCTCCTTTCCTTATTCTCTTTCAAAATTAGCTAATGCTGCAAATTTCCGTGCGGGTAATTTACATAAAATAACGATTTCGTGAAATTTTGCTCGATATATCGGTTTACTTAATGTAAGAAAAGAAAAGAGGTCAAGGAGCCATTCTAAATAGTGAAGATCGTCCCAGAAAATATAAAGAAATGGTATTAAATTATAGGTAAAGCGTGCACAACTTCTAAAAGTTGATCTAGAAATAAAGCTATTAGGGAGTTAGCTATAACTCGTACAGAATAAATATGAAGTCTAGAGAAAGATCATAACAGGAGAGAAATGGAGGACGAAAATCGATAGGCCAGTATCTTCTAAGAAGAGTAAAATAACTTTATATGTTTCGCTTTTCTGATAAGAAAACTCTTTCAATGTTTTAAGTTTTACACGAAAAAAACAAAAAAGAATTTTATCGGAATTTTTATAAATTTTGAATCAAAATTGAAGATCTTTTTTTTTTTAAAGAAATTTATTTTTTCCGATAACTACGGCCGTAAATTATAGGAGTCGATAGAGAGAAGATAATAGGGAAACAGAACTCTTCAAGAAAATTTTATTCCAGATAACTTCTTCGTCCGATAAATAAAATCGAATAAAATATAAAACAAATGATTACAAATTTAAAATTTTGAACGAAAAGTGTAAAAGATGAGGAATGGAATACAGCCAATCGTTAAAATCATTATAAATATTTTTTTAAAATATCATTTTATCACGATTCTGTGACAGATTGTAAACCACTGACCATATTTTGTACACGGGATCGAATCGATCGGTTTGTTCTTAACCAAAGATTTTAGTTATAGTATCGAGGAAGACGACAAAAATCTATTCTTAGAATAAAAGTAAAAAATGTCGCGACTTTCCTTTCGCGACGTGAGATGAAAAATTCAAAAGAAAACTTGGAAAAATACAGGAATTCCTAAAATTTCGTCTAATATTAGTTAACAAGTGATGAAAGTCCATTTAAGGATCGAGAAAGATAAGCGACAAGAGGGATCTATAATTAATAAGGAACACTTTGGGAGAGTTGTCTTTAACTCGGCAATAAGCACTAATTATGTTCTATTATGTGTGACAGTTAAATTATCTTGTTTGCTGTAATTATTTTGCGACCGCTGCCGGATAATGTCACTAAAATAAAACAATCGGGAGCTCTTCATTATCCAAGTAATTTATTTGTTATAACTATAGTCAAAGTTTGTACCATGTCGTGTTCTCTTTAACATAATCTAAATTAAATTATTATTTAACTCATACAACGTTCTAACGATAATTGACGAGTACATGATATTGTTTTTTTCCTTTAGTTTATTCCCTAATCCATTTTTCGCCGAACGAAAAACAAAATAATGAATTTAAAAATATAAATATGATGTTTAAAATAATTTTATTCTATCCACAAATTCGTGATACATAACACGTTGATATGTCTATAGAGTTGACAACACTTAAGACACTGCTTTTAAGCCAGACAACATTCAAAAGCAATAGAATTATATTTTATCAATTTACTATAGAAGTAACAAAATAATGCATTACAATATTCCCTTTATATGTATACAAGTACAGTACAATTCATTGCCTGTAAGCTTAAAAAACTACAAGCAGAACAACATTTCAAATTACAGTATACCTGTAAAATTACAACAAACTACTGTATATTTTCACATGTAAATAAAACAATTTCTTTTAATACGTAATTATCTTATAATTAACTGTAAACATTTACCGACAATTACGTTTATCACGTTACCAGTGACGGATCTATATAAAGGCTAATAAGGCTTGAGCTCAGGGCCGCAACTTTTAGCAGGCTCCAAAGCACGTAATTGTTAAATAAGTGATAGAATTTTAAATGTAAAACAATACCAATTAAGAATTTTCTACAAACATGCATAAGCAAAGAATAACATGCAGTACATTCACAATAGAAATACTTAAAACTATAAATAGGACAATTAACCATAATACTACTAAAAAAGAAATTAATGGCATCATAAACAGGATATAATTAAATAATTACCAACATTATTTATTATTAAGATGGTATGATAAAATACTTAAATTAAACCAAAACACAACACTTGTAAATTAATGTCTTTCCTTATATAAAGAGGAATCTTTACGAGGCTGTACAAAGTTTACTATAATTCAGTATACTGTACTTAGATTGTTTCAAAGTTAAAGCAATACGGTTGTATACACATAAGGCGAATGTAATGTATTGATATTATTTTGTTACTTTTATAGTCATACGATATAATATATAGGCTATAATATAATTCTATTGTTTTTGAATGCAGTCTGAGTAGGCAATTATTGCTTGTAGTTTAAAAGCAGATTAAATAAAGTATTAAAGGAGCGGTAAATATTTCGGATATATCACGAATTTGTGGATAAAATTAAATAATATATATAATCGCTATTATCCTTAATGTTTAACGATATTCAAAAACTAAATATTTAAGTATCGAGAGAAAATCGTTATCATTCGTTCGACAGTTTTTAAAATTTACTGTTAATGTCGAAGTGAAGAGAAATATTTTTGACAGTAAGCGATAGAAAGACGAGAATTGTGTAAGACAACCCGTCTCAATCCATTCTATTTTTTTTTTTAAGAAATCTTTCCGAGATACAGAAATTCAAAGATGTCGACGTCCGCATTATCTTCTCCATCCATAAATCCATCCCACACTCATTCACAGCGAATTTAATCCCCTTCGAAACTTTATTTATCTTGGATGGTCGGACTTTTCTTTGTCCTCTCAAAATCTGGATTAAGAGCGATCTTTTCGGAGTAGATCTTCGATTTCTGACTAAGACTTTGAAAATTTCCGGATAAATTTTGAGATTTTATTCTAGAATTTCTCTAAAAGAAAATGCCATTACAATATTGTACGTATCGTTTTATGCTTTTTAAATTAAAATCACAAAATGATAATATGCTTTATTCAAACCTGTTGAGAAACAGATGTTTACTTACGTATAATAAATTGTAATAATAGAGAGGTTGCGGNTTAAATTAAAATCACAAAATGATAATATGCTTTATTCAAACCTGTTGAGAAACAGATGTTTACTTACGTATAATAAATTGTAATAATAGAGAGGTTGCGGCCGACATTTTCAACGCGAAAACGTGTACGTCGAACGTTCAGCGCCGCCTTCCTGTAAGCCTAGAAGTTTGACAATGGCGTTTGGAACGTCGAGCATGATTCCTCTGACGTTCCGAACGCCATTGTCAAACTTATTGTAAAAAAATTGTTCAAAATGTGAAAGATCAATACTTATCTTATTTCCAATCATTTCTGTGAATATTCTAATATATTTTTTTAAATATTTCATTCTTGTTAGAGCTACTTCACAAAGAATGTTCATGCATTACAACTGCGCTACTATAGTCTGTTTGATCAATTCTTTCCTAATAGGAAAAATGGCCGATGAACTCCGAAATACAATTTTAAGAACTACAAAATTGCTGACGAATGGTTTATTATCGTAATATTAAAACTGTATTTTAACACTGTCATTATAAAAACAATAAAGTAAACAGTTTATAGAAAAAAAAAACTTGAAATGATTTATTTTCTATAAAAGTTTCATGCTTTATTTTCGTTCGGTATGTTAGATTAAACGTTAAATTCTTTCTCGAATGATGTTTAATGTATGGAAATCTGCACTATATTTGGTTAAAATATTTTTATACATCTTAAAATTGGAAAAGTGATGCATGTGATCAGTCTCTAATTTTATGCTACGAAGACGTTTCCATTTGAACTTACCTGGAACAAGATGATGACAACGTATTTACTCGTATATGAGGTATATTCTGTCTTGTCTATGACCTGTGTACTGAAACTTTCTGTTTCTGACACACCTCAATCGTTCTAAAAATAAATTATAATGTTTTCTTTTAATTAAGAACACATTTACAACGTTTTGTCATTTAGAATAAGAATGGCCTGTATATACACTAATGAGCTAACTATATTATTTTACTATACTAAAATACACATTTTTTTTTTTACTCTCTTTCCTTTGGGCACTAAGAGGGGCCTTTATTCATGCCCTTTATGAATTTTCACAGGTTCGAGCCAAAATATATTCATTCAAAGTGCCATTCGCACCTTTTTCAAGTCGTGTTACATACAAATCGATTCTTGTAAAGAGTGGAAAAATTCACAAGATTTATATTTTAAAAAAAGTAAATTTTTTATTTATAACAATATGAAATATATTTACATTTTTTCTCTCAGATAAACCAAAATTTAAATTTGAAATACAGAAAAAAAAATAATAATAACGAAAAACAAATGCTACAATTAATATTTTTTGTTAATGCAATTTCTCAGTATATTTGTGTTAATGATTCAAAAACAAATTGTTAGAGCAATTTTTATGAATTAAATATTAAAAAAAATCTAATATCATATGTTTAATGTATTTTCATTCATTACTGATAAGGAATATGTCGAGTATCGGTTTAATCCGTCACTAGGACCTTATCTAATAACAATAAACAGCATGCTTTAAATCGCAATTTCAATTAGTATTTGAATAAATATTCTTAAAAATTTTTTTATATTTTAATAAAACAATTCGAGTCTTTGAAATATGAGCGAAGAAGTTTTTCATTGCTTTGGGAAAGGAAACGAATCTTGAATTGATACGACAACACAACACATGGGTCATCTGCCAGGAAGATGCCTCCCGAGAG